GCCAGTCCTACTGTCACGCGTCTTCTTGCTACTGTTGTCACTGACCCCTCTTTTGAGTCCACTGCTGCGTCTGCTCTTGTCGCTGAGCTCGTCGACTTTGCTGCTCGCTGTCGTCTAGACTACGCTGCTAGTCTTCTTGCTGAGTCTGCGTCTGTCTGTCCTCCGTCCGTCGGGGGTGAGTGAGCTCTTGGCACGGACGTCCTTGAGGACAAGCAGGAGGAGTTCCAGTGTCTAGCGGCTGCTTCACCTCATCTCGCGTCTGTACTACTTGCTCCTTAGGGAGACCCGGATGCACTAGACATCCCGACTCCGCGTTCTTACGCGGAGGCCGTAGAGGGTCCCTACTCGTCTCAGTGGCAGGCAGCTATGGATGCAGAGATGGCTTCCTGGAAGTCCACAGGCACCTACGTTGACGCGGTTCCCCCTCCTGGGGCGAACATCGTCAGTGGCATGTGGATCTTTAGGGTGAAGCGGCCGCCTGGCTCTCCACCTGTCTTCAAGGCGCGGTACGTTGCTCGTGGCTTCAGTCAGCGGCATGGAGTTGACTACTTTCAGACCTTCTCTCCCACCCCGAAGATGACTACTCTTCGGGTGCTGCTGCACATAGCCGCTCAGCGCGACTACGAGCTTCACTCTCTTGACTTCAGCACTGCTTTCTTGCAGGGCAGCCTGCACGAGGAGATCTGGTTGCGGCGTCCGCCTGGCTTCACTGGGACTTTCCCTCCTGGCACCCAGTGGAGCCTCCGACGGCCAGTCTACGGTCTCCGCCAGGCACCGCGTGAGTGGCACGACACACTGAGGACTACGCTTGCGGCTCTTGGGTTTGCTCCCTCTACTGCTGACCCGTCGCTGTTTCTGCGCACCGACACTTCTCTGCCGCCGTTCTACATCCTCGTGTACGTCGACGACTTGGTCTTTGCCACTGCTGACACTGCTGGACTCGCCTACGTGAAGTCCGAGCTGCTGAAGAGACACACGTGCACAGACCTGGGTGAACTGCGCAACTACCTTGGCTTGCAGATCACCCGGGACAGAGCACGCCGCACCATTACCTTGACTCAGTCACACATGGTGCAGCAGGTCCTTCAGCGCTTCGGCTTCACGTACTTCTCGCCTCAGGCCACTCCTCTGGCTACTCGCCACTCTCTCTCAGCTCTGCCTTCGGATGAGTCCGTAGAGTCGAGTGGCCCGTACCCAGAGCTTGTTGGCTGCCTGATGTACCTGATGACCTACACACGACCTGACCTTGCATACCCTCTTAGCATTCTTGCACGCTATGTTGCTCCTGGGAGACACCGACCGGAGCACATGGCTGCAGCGAAGAGGGTGTTGCGCTACTTGTGCAGTACGTCGGGCATGGGGCTAGTGCTTGGAGTGCGGAGTCCAGTGGTCCTCACTGGTCACGCGGACGCTTCTTGGGCTGACGACCTGGCTACGCAGCGATCGTCGCAGGGGTACACCTTCAGTCTTGGTTCTGGCTCTGTTTCTTAGCGGGCTACTCGCTCGTCTTCTGTTCTCGGCTCCAGTTGTGAGGCTGAGATCTACGCCGGGGCCATGGCTGCACAGGAGCTTCGCTGGCTCACCTACCTGCTGACTGACCTTGGAGAGCCGCCTCGTTCTCCTCCAGTGCTGTACGTAGACAACAACGCCATGCTGGCCTTGTGTCGAGAGCAGCGCTTGGAGCATAGAACGAAGCACATTGCTCTCCGCTACTTCCTTGCTCGTGAGCTGCAGCAGCGTGGTCAGTTGCGACTTGCGTACGTGGCCTCTGAGGCCAACACTGCTGATGTTTTCACCAAGGCACTTCCGCCTTGTGATCATCAGCGCTTCTGTACTCAGCTGGGACTTGTACCTGTCTTACCTCACTTGCTCACCTCTTGACCTTGCTTGTACTCTTGCATATATATATATACCTGCTCTTGCTTGTTTAGCCTTGTATATATATGCCTTCTCTTGCATGTGAACTGGCCGTGTGGCCTTGACCTTGTGCTCGGACTGTGTGGTGACTTTGTGATCCACCCTGAGCTTGCTTTGCTTTGCTTTGCTTGACTGGTCTTGTGACCCCTTGTTCTCCCCCACTTTGCCTATGGGGGTGTGTCAGATTTATGTGACATAGCTGTTGTAGGCTATAGTGGGGTAGCACATATGGGGTACAGGTTTCTAGGGTTGTATTTGTACCACTCTTTCCTTAGTCAATTCATTTCCTGCTCTTTCAACTTCACAGCACTGACCCGCTACTTAACAGGCCCTTTTATCCCAATGGTCTAGTGGTTGGCATTTTGACACACCTAACCACCGCTATTTTCTTTCCGTCTATTTTCAACCCCACTCGCGCAAGTGGGTATGTACCCTTTCTATAATCTTTGACCGAGGGTTGTGTAAGCATTAGAAATTTCACACTGATCTCGCACTAGGCTGGTTCTTGACCCCCAAAAAGAGTAGAAGTGGCACAAGGGAACTCGCAACAGCAAAAGTGCCTTTTCTCAGATTTGCTTTCATGAGTTTTTTAACATTACATATCAGGGTGCTTCGTAGCCCAGGTTCCCCAAGTGCCCAACTAAAATAGTAGAATGCGTGCAGGGTATCTTCAAAACGTGGGAACAGTGCAAGGGTTGGGGTTGAAAATAGCGGTGGTTAGGACGTGTCTCGGTTCGCCTCTGGTCGCCTGTGATCAGGTCGGGGCTGATCTGATCGGGTTGCCTTTGTTTGGACAGCTCGCGCCGCCCGATCAGAGAATATTTTCCTCGAACACTTCACGAGGTTACATAGCAGGCGTATAAACATTTCCTGCCACTTTTGGGCCCACTTTGGCGACCGCGAAACCCTCGGCATGGAACATGCGAATTTGAGTGTTTCCCTGTAATGTCGTAAAAAGAGCCAACCCAGAAACATGCGAATTTGAGTGTTTCGCTCTGTTCGCCAGCGTCGCGTAGAACCCCAATCAAATGCAATCAAGTGATCGTCGGTGATTGTGTTTGATTGGGCTGTTTTCTCGGTTGAATGAGTTGGGGAGATAAGCTGATCGCGATCAAGTGATTGCCCCTGATTGCATGAAATCGCCGCCTTACCTTTCTGGAAGTTATTGATCGTGTCTGGTCGAGGCACCCGAGGCGAACCGAGACACATTCTTGGGACGTGGCCCAGATCGCCTCTGATTGCCCCGGAAGCCCCAGGCCAGTTTCAGGCAATCAAGGGCAATAAACTGCCTCAAACACCCCAATCAATCACAATCACAGACAATCAGCCACGTTCACTTGATTACGTGGGATTGGGGATCTTGACGATGCCCACGATGAAGTTACAGTGTATAGTTAAGCTCGTCAATCCGTCGTGCATGCATATTTTAAAGCGTAATTTGCGAGATTACATGGAAACAAATATTTCGCTACATCTCCGTTCTCGCCAAAAATGGGACGAAATTATAACGAATTGCTGTCGCGCTTGCACGGTAAGCGCGTGGAATTTCCGAGGAATATCATCACTGATCGGGCTGCGCGAGCAATGCAATCACAAGCAACCCGATCAGATCTGTCCCGATCAGATCAGTGCCGATTAGAGGCAGTTTGGGCCACGTCCTTAGGTGTACAGATGATGCTCAACTCCTGCACGCGAATTTGCCTTCCACCGGATGGAAACCTTGCACCCGGTTGGTTTTGTGCCGTGAAGCTGCACCCTATTTACAAGCACCTTGAACAAGTTGCCACCTAAACCAGCCAATACTAACAACATAAACCGAGGTTTGACTGAGAAGACTGAAGTAAAAAATTCAACGATGAGTTACACCTTCTTTCAATAAGCCCATTTTGTTAGGTGCGAATTAACGAAACCTTAGCGAAACGCAAAAACTACTTTTGAGCCCAAAGCACAAGGCAAAGTTGGGTGCGCCAAACGAGCATCATCTGTACTGCAGCAGGAGAGTGATGATACTCCCACGCGGAGATCTTGGGTTGGCATGGCAGACCATTTTCGAAGGGTGGCGGGGGGGGGGGGGGGGGGGGGGGGGGAGAAAGAGCACTTGGCCATTTTCTGACAGCCTCGTCAGACCCTGACAGCACGATGAACGGTCGTTATCAATTTCACCGACATCGACGAACATCCACTCATCGACGTGTCAGACCCCGCCCAGCGTCGCGCTAATCGTCATCGTCCGATTCGAAACCACTACATCGACGACCATCATTCAATCAGTTTTCATTTCGGCACTTCGATCACGATCGTCAGATCGACATCTTGGAAATTCGACGGCTGAAATTCCAACATTATTCAATTTCCCCTAGTCAACTTGTCAGTCTCGCGTCAACTCGAAGGTCAACGTGTTTCTGCACCGTCAGATCAGTTTCGACCGAGATCTGCAGTTTTCACGCTACTGCGAGACTCATCCACCGAGAAGGGGGCCTTATCTAGAAGGTGGGAGATTGTAATGAATTACAATTTATTACTGTAGAGGCTGCTCCTAGGGAGGACATGCCCGAACACTGCGTTTCAATTTCAGGTTCGGCCCATACTTTCGCACTGAACCAGTTCCGAGTCGCCTCGCACCAATCGCGACACATCCAACCCTCGTACGTCCTGAGGTCCGCGCCTAGCATGTATTCGCTCTATAAATGCTTCTCTTGTTCATTCAATGCTGATTCAGTGATTCTGTAATCAGTCTCTTTTTAGAAGTCTTCCGCGCACTCTGTTTAGTATAACTCATAATATAGTACATACTACGAGCTTGAGTAATTACACGGTCGTGCAGAATCACACAAGTGCAGTGATGACCTGAACTTTTGTTGGAGCGGACCTATAGGTGGATGGATGGTTGAAATTCAGTGTTTAGAAACTCCCTGTCCAAGGAGAGACGGAGCGGAGGAGATGGCGTGACGCGGCTGGCACGGGTGGTCAAGCTCATCGAGTAATGAAGGACCAGCCAGTGACAGACAGCAGACAAACCCAAGATGGTCAATACCCTAGCGGGATGCGAATCTGTCAGTCGTGTTCGGTCGCCGAGAGCGTTTTTAGAACAAGCCGGGAGGGATGATGACGTTGTTAATGCCGTGGACCCAAATCAGCGTGAGCGACGACGCCGCGATGTCGCTTCGGGTTACCACTGCCATCTGCGACGTCGTTGCGCCAGGAGGCCCGAGCGTCACGGTGCTGATTGTCGTTTTCTGCTTCACGATCTGTACACCGTATATGGTGGGGAGCTTCGAATCGGGCGGTAACTTCTTGAGGGAGCTGAAGGGAAGCTGCTGAATAATCATGTGGTAGTTGAGGAGCCGGACGAGCTTGGAACCAGAGAGCTGCGCCTTGACGCGTACGGGGAGGATGGTGAAGGCATTGTCGCTGGGGACGAGCATGGTTACGGGCTGCGTCTGGATGTACCGCGCGAGGACGGGCTGTAAACCTGAATAGCAAGGGAGAAAATAGCGAAGAAAATAATGAGTTTGCCGAAAGGGGTTAAACAAAGTAGACGAAAGAGGAAACTGGAGGTATAAAGAGAAAATTAACGAGACGGGTGATGAGGCAGACGGTCTGACGGATTGTAAGAGAGGATGTGCTGGGACGTTAGGATTTAAAGGTTACCAGATAATCGGAAGAACGACAAATACACGTTGTACTTGCCCGTCGCCGTCAACGCCGCTAAAGCCTTATTTAAATCGGCTTTTCCGTCCACCGATGTAGCGGCGCAGGCTACTGAGACGAGAGCGAGAAGCGTGAGGAGCCTTACTACGACGTGCGTCATCATGCGGCGTAGGAATGAAGACGACCTGAGCAACGTGGGCCTTTGACGCGTTTTGGTAGCGGAAGTAGAGATAACTCGAAAACTGAATTTCTATAACGTACTGTCGAATCTCGTTGTGTTGGAGCGGGTGGTATATATGCGCCATTCTTGCTGTGCTAGTGCGGGTGATTTCCATCGTGCCATTTTCGCTGTGCTGGTGCGGGTGATTATTCACGCCGTCATTCTTGCTGTGCCGCCAGGGTGTGAGTCATATCTAGGCAGGCACACAACCCAAGTGTTGAAGCACAGGGATAAGGCGTTTGACCTTTGTCGAGTCGACTCAACAGGCTGATTTTGTCGAGCTGGACACCTGGGGGACCTTCATAAGCTCCCGCGAAGCGCGCCCACAGAAACAAGGCATGCTTTTTTTCAGGGTGTTTTGGAGGATTTCGACCTGGCCGCTGAATCCGGATCTCGCTAGGGACCTGGGAGGGGGCGAGGGACTCCCTCTCGCGTGCGATTCCCTTACAAAATCCAAACCACCTGATGGCGCAACGAAATGGGCGCAAGAGTGGTTACACTACCGGTCTGGATTATCGACGGTCGCACGAAAGCGACGTCGCAACAACTGTTCTACAGTGTTTGTATATAAATGTAAGGAAAATTCCTTTTCCTTACTTCGCATCCCTGCTCAACGCGTACATCACTGTAGCACCACAGTCAGCACTGTTACCACTCACAACCCTCACATCGACAATCCGCCCACCACCTTCGCACATCGCACCCTGACCTCACGGCTCGGCGAGTAACCCGCGCTCCGGGCCTCCGCTTCGACACTTTTTCCCAACCTCCTTCCCAGACCCGTCGCGCGACAACTACAGTCCATTACCGTTACCACTGTAGTTTCGCTATGTATTCTTCGCTCATGCCTTCGCTCATTGTACTCTTGCTTCGATAGTGCAATTCTCATTCATTCACTCAATTGCACTCGTAACACTTGGTATTCAGAGCCTACGATCTCCTCTCAGACCGCACCCACACCTTCGCTTCCCCCCTATCTCAATCTTTTGAGGGGGGGGTAGACATCTCTCAGCGACACAGCACCGCCGCTCGTAGTGCTCTCTCGTAAGCACGCACGGCCACGACCGAGGCTCTCGATGAGCTCGCCCGACACCCCCGCCATGGCCGAATTCACACTCGCCACATTGACGCAGGAGCAGCTTGACCGTCTGGTGCGCCAACTTGAAGATTCGGCGCTCGAATTTGCGACGCTCACGGCGGAACATGACTCCACACGTTAGCAATCCACGGTGAACATTCCATCGCCACCACACGCACCGACAAATGCATCGGCACAATCGGACGAACCGATCGTCATTTCGTCCGGCACACCAACGCAACACAATAGCGTGGGACAGCGCTCAGGCGCAGCCAGTGATGGCGCCGCCCAGCCGATGCCTGGCATGGGAGGAAGCAGGGTCGCACCAAGCCCACGGGAGCCTCGTGAAGCACGTCGGCACGTGGAGTTCGCGGCGACAAGTGGCGAACAGGCCATTATGGCACCCATGCCACTCAAGCCGCAACGCCCGCCCTGCTTCGACCCAAGCCAACGTGGAGGTCCGACGGTTCAATCGTGGGTCTTCACGATGAATGTCTTCTTCGACGGGAATAACGTCGAGTCGGACGCAGCGAAGATTCGGTATGCCGTTTCGCTGTTGAGGGGCCCCGCCATGGACTGGTGGCGAGTCATCATGACGTCGCCACGCGCTTACGAGCCACCGTCGCAAGAGGAAGGGCCCACGGGCCCATCTGTCACCTGGAGTTCATTCTGCGAGACCGCCTAATACAACACGTGGGATGCCTGGTGCGCAGGGCTTCGGGCGCGCTTCGAGCCGACCGCGGCTTTGATTTCGTCGCGTCAGAGATTGCGCACTTGGCGGCAGCTCGGATCGGTTCAAGACTATACGAGTGGTTTTCTCGCATTATGCGAGCAAGTCGGCTACATGCACGAAGCAAAGCAGGGGGACCGTTATGTCGGGGGGCTGAAGCCGGATATCTCGCATGAAATAATGCTACGCGGGTTCTCGAACTTCAATGAGATTCTCGCGCTCGCCGAGAAAATCGACATTTTACGCCGTCTGAGACCGGGGTCCTACTATGGACATCGTCCTCGGGGACCGATCGAGCACGCCACTGTACATGCTGTTGCGAGGAATGCAGCTGCCGCGCCGTTTAAGGGGCGTTGCTTTGCTTGCATCAGGCTGGGCCACCGCAAGGCAAATGCTCAGAGGAGCTAAGGCGCCGCGGAGCAGAGCAGGGGAGGGAGTCTCCAAAGCAGGGAAACACCAGCAGTCAGTAGGAATCGGGCCAACTACTGACGAGACTGCCTGCTCGCCCAACCCCACCGACCCTCACCGAGTCACAGTACCGATTCATGCTATCGATCGGACTCGGACGAATAAGGAGGGTACACCGACGAATTGCCCAGTACTGATCCACGGGAAAATACAGGGAGCAGCAGTGAAGTTTTTTATCGACGGAGGAGCACGCCACAGTTTAGTTAATACCACAACCGCACGAAAACTACAGCTGACACTTAGCCATTGCTTACCGGAGATAGATGCACGCTTAGTCGACGGCACGCCACTGGCCATACGGGAAAAGGTAGAGAGAGTCGAAATCCGTTGCGGGGGAAATTTCGGGTTTACACAGGAAATGCTCGCAACGACACTGGATGGGCACGATATTTTACTAGGACGTGATTGGCTGCGACGGTATAACCCACGAATTGACTGGACGACGGGTAGCTGCACCGTGCGAAGTAGTGGTAACTGGGTCAAGCTAACTCGCTGGCGGTCGCCCGAGCCTTCAACGGTACACGTCAACGCCATCATAATGAAACGGGCTATCGCTGCTAGAGCTTGTCAGAATATTATTCTTATGTTCTAGCCTGTAGTGGGGTGCTCTATAGCGAGTACAACCCTTCTAGGGTTTGCTATTTGTATCCCCATTTCTGCTAGTTCATTCCTCCTTCTTTCTTCAAACTTTGTCATGCTATCAGAGCAGGTCGATCCCCTTGGATCGATCCTGTGGGTGGGTTGTCAGATTTATATGACATAGTTGCTGTAGGCTATAGTGGGGTAGCACATATGGGGTACAGGGTTTCTAGGGTTGTATTTGTACCCAATCTTTCCTTAGTCATGCCCATTCCTGTTTTCCTTGCTTCACATGGTATAGAGCGGGTCCTGCCTTAGGACCGTTTTTTTTAGGGCCCACCGAAGCGCGCCCCGAGGCGCGCCTTTTTTTTAGCGACCCCTCGGGTCGCCTTTTTCCTCGCGGTCCCGCTGTCCCTCAGACGCGGCCCCGCCACCTCTCCTGATCGCGGCCCCGCCGCCTGTTTGACGCGGCCCCGCCGCCTCCCCTGACGCGGCCCCGCCGCCTCCTCTGACGCGGCCCCGCCGCCTCCCCTGACGCGGCCCTGCCGCCTCCCCTGACGCGGCCCCGCCTCTACTACCGCGGCCCCGCCGCCGCCTCCTACGGCCCGCCGCTGCACCCTACGGCCCGCCGCCTCTGACGGCCCCGCCGCTGCACCCTACGGCCCGCCGCTGCTCCTGCCGGCCCGCCGCCTCACCTGACGGCCCCGCCGCTGCTCCTGCCGGCCCGCCGCTACACCTGCCGGCCCGCCGCTGCACCTAGCGGCCCGCCGCCTCTGACGGCCCCGCCGCTGCACCCTACGGCCCGCCGCTGCTCCTGCCGGCCCGCCGCCTCACCTGACGGCCCCGCCGCTGCTCCTGCCGGCCCGCCGCTGCTCCTGCCGGCCCGCCGCTGCACCTGCCAGCCCGCCGCTGCACCCAGCGGCCCGCCGCTTCACCTGACGGCCCCGCCGCTGCACCTGCCGGCCCGCCGCTGCACCCTACGGCCCGCCGCTGCACCCTACGGCCCGCCGCCTGCACCTGCCGGCCCGCCGCTGCACCTGCCGGCCCGCCGCTGCACCTGCCGGCCCGCCGCTGCACCTGCCGGCCCGCCACTGCACCGGTCGACCCGCCGCTGCACCTGACGGCCCCGCCCCTGCATCTCCCGGCCGAGCCGCCCCAGCAGCCGAACCGCCCGGGAGCCGAGCCGCCCAACGCCGAGCCGCCCGGGACCCGAGCCGCCCTGCCGCCGAGCCGCTCGGGAGCTGAGCCGCCCTGCACCCGAGCCGCCCAGCCGCCGAGCCGTCCGGGAGCCGAGCCGCCCTGCGCCCCAGCCGCCCAGCCACCGAGCCACCCGGGAGCCGAGCCGCTGTGCACCCGAGCTGCCCGGTCGCTGAGCCGCCTTTCTGCAGAGCTGCACGACCTGCCCTGCCTGGTGAGCACAGTCCCACTGACACTGCGAGCTCTTTCCCTACTGCTTGCACTGCGTCGCTGTCGTCGCCATGGCTACCCCTAGTGTCCTAGCTTTCGACGCTGAGGGTCGCGCCATTGATTTTGAGGTCTGGTTAGACGACCTGCAGCTGTTCTTACAGTGCGACAGGGCTGACGACCTTTCTCTCTTTGACCTCACCTCTGGCGCCTCTCCTGCTCCTGCTGCTGATGCTGATCCCTCTGTCCGCTCTCAGTGGGCCACCCGCGATGCTGCTGCACGTCTTGCTGTGCGTCGCCACCTCCCTACCTCTGAGCGTGCGCACTTTAGCCAGTACAAGAGTGCTCAGACCTTGTACGACGCTGTAGTTGCGCGCTACTCCTCCCCTGCCACTGCTGCACTGAGCCGTCTCATGCTTCCCTACCTCTTTCCTGACCTCTCTGCCTTTCCCACTGTTGCTGACCTCATTACGCACCTCCGCACTAGTGACACTCGCTACCGCGCCGCCCTTCCTGCTGAGTTCTGCGCTAAGAACCCCCCCCCCATGTACATCGCTCTCTACTACGTAGTCGTGCGCCTCCCTGACTCCCTTCGCGTCGTCAGGGACCACTTTCTCGCTGTCTGTCCCACCACCCTCACCGTCGACCTCCTCGAGACGGCCCTCCTCGCAGCGGAGAAGAGCA